AACTAATCAAACACAAAAATCAAACTGTCTAGGACACTGGAGGTTCTCAAACTTTGGATCATGACCCCTTGGGGGGGTGTCGAATGACCCTTTCACAGGGGTCTCCCAATTCATAACAGTGGCAATATTGCAGTTATGAAGCAGCAACGAAAATAATTTTATGGTTGGGGGTTCACCACAACATGAGGAACTGTATTAAGGGGTCACGGCATTAGGAAGGTTGAGAACTACTGGTCTAGGTCTTTATTTCTTGAAGTTTTCCTTGGCTCTGAAACATCTCCAGCAGATTCACTTTACATGATGTGATACTCTTTCTGCATCCACCTTTGAAGCAGTCTGAAATCTAAGTACTTTGCCTTCCCTTCCTTCTCTTTTTAGTCTTCAGCATAAATGGATACTCTTCTGCATGCCAGGCACTATGCTAGGAGCTAGAGATAAAGGGCAGGACACAGTCTCTGCCGACAAGGTGATTGACATTCTAGGATGGGGAAGTTGATGAGCGAATAGGCAATAAGAGCATATCACAAAAGAGGAGCACATAAGAAAGTCTGTGATTAGAGAAGAGTTCTCATAAGAAAGTCTAAACTGATATCTTAAGGCTGAATGGAAGTCATTCACTAACACAGAAGAGAATTGGGGGAAGGACAGTCTAGGCTAAGGGATATAATTCCTTAGTGTCATGCACACTGTAAGTTGCTGTTGGTTGTTTCTCTGAGTTGACCTCTATCTTTGAAGGCTGACCAAGGAGCAGATTATTTAGCTAAAAGTGGCCTAAAGAATAGGAAATGTACTAATTCAAATATGCATAGGTTTCACAGAGACTATTCCTGCACATGTGTTGCAAATATATCCATGAATATAGTAGAAGGCACAGGGGGAAAGTTAAGGGAATGCCTTAGCTATAATCAAACACCTTGAGGGAATGCGTTCCTGGGTCTTTGGGCTCGGGACCATAGTCTCAGGGTCAAGCTCAATTGGCATATCGCGGTCCACAAAGATAATGTTCTACAACATTTTACTTTGTCAAGTAGTGACTAGGGTCTTTGAAAGCTTGTGAGCAGCCATCTAAGGTACAGCTATGAGTCTTTCCCCATCTGGAGGAAGAAGAGTGAAGAGAATCATAGATGCAAGACAATTTGAAGCTGAATGGACTAAGGAGCCATGCAATGAAACCCAGGCTCCATGACTTTGAAACCAGAAGAACTAGAGAGTACCCAGCTGTACCCAGTACTACTGCTGACCTCTCTGAGAGGTATCACAATAGGAGGTTCTGGGTAGAGTGGGAGAAAAATGTGAAACAGAACTAAAAACCATGAAAAAGCAGATTTATGGGTCAGGAGAGACTGGTAGAACTCCTGAGACTTTGGCCTTTACATATTCTTCAATTCGGGAACTGATCTCATCCCCAGCTTTCAGCCACACAGTAGACAGGCTTATAAGGTGAATAGTAATACCAGGGAGGTATTATCCACTCCTTAGAATAATAAACCATACCAGATCAAAAGAGTAGCCCTTGTTTATGGATAAAACTCAGAAGGAAGGAAAGGATAGGAAAGAAGGGCCTATGGATACAGTCAATACAAGGAACAAGTGGAAAGAGTGCTGTTATATTGTGGAGATTACAACTAGTGTAACAAATCAAAATTGCCTGAACTGCTTTATGACTTTTCATCTAAATCATAACAAATGTATAAAAAATAAGAAGTTTATTATCTCATATAAGAAGAAATCTGGAGTACGACTGCTTCAAGATTTGTTCATTAAATATCAAGCTGTTTTCCTATCCTACCTTTTTACCATTCTCCGATTCTTGGCAGTGTCAGCTTTAATCTCAGCATGGCTGCTGCAGCCACAAGCACCACACTTTCATGGGACAATGTGTAAAATAGGAACAACAGGTTTCCCCGACCCTCTTGTGTTTTCTTGGACTTTGGAGAACTGCTAGATTTCTTTTTACTTTTTATTGATATGAGTTGTGTCATATGCCTTCACATGAACTAGACATTGACAAGGGGACTGAAACTGCCATGATTGATTTGCAGAACACTGTTTGCTTCCATGGAATGGGATGCCAACTGACCAAACCACGTTTGTGAAATTGATTCTGACTACAGTGATTTTCTAGGACAGAATAGAACTGCCCCACGGGGTTTCCACGGTGGTCATCTTTATGGTAGCAGACTGCCACATCTTTCCCCCACGGAGTGGCTGTTGGGTTTTAACCTCCAACTGTTCTGGTAGCAGCTGAGCGCTTAATAACTGGGTGACCCAGGCTCCCTCTGGATCGGGATAGAGAGGTGAAATGTCAGAGCAAATTGGGACTCTTGCAGCAGGGGAAGACTGAAATAATGTGTGTAGACAAAATAAATAGGCAACTGAGTCACCTGGATTTAAAGTTTGCACCCCACCCCCACCCCTCTGCCTTGAACCACTTAGTTTTGTGTTGGCTTCATATCTCTTCAGCTATTTCTAATTGTGTTTTCTTTGATAGTCCTAGCTATGTTAGTGACAATGTACTTTTGATTGATGTCCTAGACAGAGGTGCTAAAAGATGCTTTCTATCTGTGTGAACTTGACAAGTCATCTCGTCTTCTTGTGTTCCATAATGTCTATATGGTGAACCTATTTTAAATAAGATGACATATACTTGTAACCTTATTATTGCTACTTTTCCCTCTTCTTTTAAGCATATTTACACTTAAGTATGTTCTAAGCAAGTGATGTAATCCTGTAGTGGTTCTGTACTGAGGAATTGTAAGTACTTGTTAAATGGAACTCCTCAATTAACATTTTATAAGTTAAAATAGCTCTCAATATGCACATCAAATCTAGGGGCCAGAGGAATATGGCACCATTATGGTGCTTGTGAGTACTCACACACATTATATGAGGGGCTTCGAAAAGTTCATGGAAAATGGAATTAGAAGACATACAATTTTTCCATTTTTTTATAACTGGAAACTTTGTGAAACCGAACCCTGAGTTACTTGAGGACTTCCAGAGATCAAACTCTACTAGACAGCATTTATAGAGCTGAGTCAAAATTCAGGCTACAAAAAGTTACTAATATCTAAGCATTTCTTCTTGTTCAGTGCCCCAGTCAAACAGTGGCGAGAGCTCTAGGGTACAAACTCAAATTTATGTTGGTAATTTGTACCTTCCAGCTGCTCTGCAGGAGCATGATGGTGCAGTCTGTTTCTGTAAAGAGTTACAGCTTGGAAACCCTATGAAACAGTTCTACTGTGTCATATAGTCTCACTAAGAGTCAGAATCAACTTGATGGTAGTACATTTGATTTTTTTTTGGTTTGTTCTTGTTGATGTTTAATAGGAAATAGAAGATTCTTGGGATTATCAAAACTATCAAACTAGTGGTAAGTTTACTTCATAGGTCTCTAATCCATAGGTGGTGGTATACCTAGACAAGTTATAAGCTTGTGATTTTGTTCTCAAAACCCTTCTTTTATGTTGTTGCTATGTGCCATCGAATTGATGCCAACTCAAAGTGACCCTATATGGATGGCATAACAGAACGGCCCTTACTTTCATATTAGAAATGGAAATTCAAACCTTAAGATAACCTTTATAAAATAGTATTCAGTAACTAGGTATAAGTTTTTGGCCACTAGTTTTTCGTTTACAACATAGTTTGTAAATTTTTAACTAGTTTTCTTACTTGGTCATATAAACAAATATTTAAAATGGGCCATCAGTAGATGGCGCTCTTTCTCTAGTTATATCCTTTGCTTGGGGCATAGAGAGCGCATTGGCAGAGAAAGGATTTTAGATATTTAGAAAGGTAATAGAGAAGAATCTAGTACGGAAATTGTTGAAAGGATGAAGATCCGATTAGTGTAGTATCATTGAAATCCAGAGGAGAGTGTGTTTCAAGCAGGAGGGAATGTTAAACGATAGCAAATGCTGTTATTAAGTGAAATAAGATGACAGCAGCTATTGAGAAGTGAGCAAGTGGGAAAGAAGGAGAGCAGAGAAGTGAGAATGGTAGCTGGAGGGAGATGCGAAGTTACGGGTGGTTTTAAGAGCATGTTTTTATGCCCAGGAGAATGTTCTAGTAGAGTGAGAAATACCTGATGCAGAAGAGGGTTAATAGGAAATAGCAGCAGGAGTAAAGTTCTTGGGAGCTGGAATACTTCTTCCATGCTTGTCGGAGGTCGATGGAGGAAGAGTTACAGATCCAAGCAGGTTGGTGTTGTGAAGTAGCAAGAAGAGGAGGTATTTCTGTTTGTCTATCTGCAACCCCCCCCCG